ACTACAGTGGCTCAAGTACGCATCACATTACCATCATCTAAAGTACATTTAGGGATAAAGAATAAATGCTGGCCTAGCCAGAATTAATCATGTTTTGTGAAAAAATAAAAAAATTATCATTCATAATCTTGATAGGAGAGGGTTGTGAGCCCAGTGTCCCAATGCTGCAATCTGTTTTGCAAATGAAGATTTTAGAATTAGACCAGCTAGATTGGTTTGATATGGTCCCCACCAGCTCAGAGGAGTGGTAAACCATAGGACACCCATGATCTGGAGTCTGAAATTTATTGACAGGTAAGTTTAAAGCAGTTGCCAACTTCACATGTTACAATAAAATGCTGCATAAGTTATGAATTAAAACAGTGTCTACGGATTGAACTTTGCTCTGAAATCTTACATGATCATTAAGTTGACCTTTAGCTACATGAGAGTACCTTATCCACTTGAATAAAATGATCTTCCACACCGAAAAATATTGAAATTCAGACTTGATTGCATAAATTGTCCCTTTTGCTTTAATTGTTTCAAGAAATTTCAGTTGAGACATTTGTTTCCCTTATTCAAAGCTTGCTTTTTCAAAAAAACATTATGAGCCCTTGATAGGGTTATGTTTTTAATGGTTTTTAATGAATTTAGAATGGTTGTTTACTTTGTTTTATAACTGCCTAATCAGAGAGGTTTCAGAAATGCATTTTGAATGATTATTTATTTTGACTGAGTGAGTAGGCAATGAGGTGTTGAATGTTATAATGAGGGTGATAGGAAATGAGGAGGGTGAAACGGTATGAGGGTCATAGACATGTTTAGGATTGGGGGATAAAAAGCTATGGGGATATAAAGATGACAAGGGATAAGGGGATGCCTGGGATGTTTGAAGAATGGTATGGTGATGAGGTGTCTTAGGGGTAAGGGCCTTAACACTCCTCTCCGGAAGTGGGCCAATTCCTGAAAACCCTTTTAACCTATCTGCTTTGGTATCCACCAGCTTCCATTTCCACATTATGCCTGCTTATGTTTTTCAAGTTACGAAAATAGCAATAGTAGAAAATTGTAGCTGAAAAGAAACTAAAAAGTAAATGCAGTGAACAAACCTCAAATTCAACAAGGGGAGGACGGAATACCAAATCTTGATAACTTAGTATCATGTCTACAAGAAACATTGGTACAAACACTTGTTCAGTCTGGAGTTCTTCATCCTCAAGTTCTTCATCCTCAAGATCTTCATGCTGGAAATCTTCAACTGTTGCAACGCTGAGTATGGGAGTTTGTGCAAATGACTAAGAAAGATAAGGTGAATACATAAATATAAAACTATTTTACTGTTAAAATAATTTCCAAAAATGGATCTCTTCTGAAAACCTCAGAAGTAATATTTATTTCACTATGAGTATAATTGGAATCTAAGATGTGACACCTTCTGTGTTGTCAAAGTACATTTAACAGTGAAGTGCATCGCAATAGTATGTGAAAACTCAACAGCCACTGGTGTGATCCTCATATCTGATGATATATCATGGAAAACACCATGAAAACACCAAGATCAAAGCTCAATAAGCTTGACCACACAAAGAATAATATTTTCAAAAATTATTGTTCTTCCACTTTAAAAAAATACACCAAATGTTGTGTGTCTCTCCACCTTTTTTTCCAATTCAGTTTCCTTTTCAGCCTCCATTGTGCTCCAAATTCTAATGAGCTCTTCGTCTGGAGTGCGCTTCAGCTTCTCTGTCAAGTGATTGAATAAGATTGTGATGGAATTCACTGTGAGGACATGCAGTGTGTTCACTATGAGGTAATCAGTAAGGCGGATGAAGCTACAAAGGAGAAATAAAGAAGTATTGTACATTTAACTTGAATCATTAATGAGAATTAAAACAGGGCTTTTATACGTTTCCACTAACCAGGTTAGTCTCCTGCAGTGAGACCTCTTGTTTGCTTGTCCTGTGTAATTTATTTTGTCAGATGTCTCCGTAAGAATTTCAGTAGCAATAGTAGAATGCACAGCACTATTCTCACCAATGCCTGTAAGTAGATAATTTTTTTCTTATGCAGCAATATCCATAATCAGAAAAGTCATACATGAAAAAGCAAGCAACATTTTTCAAAGTAGTATAAATAGATAAGCATTCATACACAGAATAACTGTAAATTTTATATGAAATGGTCATGTTCATTAAAATATCCACTAGTTTATTTATGGAGCATACACTTTAATGGAAAAAAAGCTCTCAGAGACTGTCCAAAGGACTTAAAGTAATATGAACTCAAATTTTTGTAGGGGACATGAGAACCACAATTTTAAAAGGCTGTCAAACTTCCAGTGAAACACACGTTCAGTATCAATAAACACACTTGCACATTGCATTTGGATCAGTACCTGCACTCTGCATCTCAGACAAATAGTCATCTGGTATATATCCAGCTTCCAGTAAGGCTGTGCAACAGGCAATCTTAACCGTTTGTTGTGCAATTTTCCTGAACTGAGCCAGACGTTCAGCACCCTGTAGAACAAAAAAGAATATACTTTAATGGGTTCCAGGATTCCTTGTATGGAAAATAAAACTTTACCTGAAAAAATTCATGGTTCAAATTTTCATCAACAGACAATGAACCGTATTGTACAGTTTAAGCACTTAAAATTACAACATATCAACAGGTCACCCACATGCAGTAGTTCAGGTCTGTTGTATGTTTTTATATGTTATCCCTTTCTTCCTGCCCTTTCTCCATCAGGATATATTGAGAGAGCAGCAAAACGTATTGGATCGACACTTTGCAAATAGTTACAAATGGTTGTAAAAACTTTGAAACTATGATTGCGAAGTTCGTCATTATGAGGCCCTATATAGTTGAAGGAGAGTAAACATAGTTAATAGGTTTTACAAATAAGTGTGCTTTTATCACACTGCAATAGACATTTAAAACTTTGTTTCATGTAACTTTATTTTATCTCATCTCTTCGCGGGTCTTGAAGTTTGCCCACAGTGGACAAATTAGTATCGTAGGTGAAATGGAAACTACTTATATGTAGGTCACATGGGTTGGTAGGAGTTAGCACTAAGTTAATCTAAGATCTATAAAGAGCCACGGGGTAGCTACAGGGACTATCCTGGTACTAACTGAATAAGGCATTTTGGGGTGGTGCAGAACATGAGGTGGCATGGGATGATATAGATGAGGCATGGGAGTGGGGTTGAAGGGGTTTGAGGGGTGAAGGTTGGAGAGGTTTTTTTAAAATCAATTTTTGTATGTAATGCTAGAGCTCTGAGGCAGCCTTTGCACCTAGCTCACCTCCACAGCTATCAGCCTCATCATCACTTCTGGGATTTCCTGCTGCGACATTCAAGTGGCCAATTATAGAAGTCAGGTTTTCAAGACTGAGAATTCTCCCAAATTTGCATAGCTGAATAGCAATTAAAAGTACTGGGTTACATCCTAATCCACATCACTCCTCTTAAGGCAATCATATGATCAGTTGCTACAATCAGAACACCTCATGATGAAAAACTGAAGTCAGTACCTCATAACTTATTCTCCAAACATCAATTCAAAATAACAACCCATGAGACTTTGATACTGAGTTTGAAAGATTCACTAAGTACCAATGAACATAGGCAACTGGAAACGGCAAGGAAGTTCCAATAAATCAATCCACAATGTCTAAGCCATAATAGTTCCCAGTCATTAAATTCTTCCTTACTGCTTGCAAGGATGACAGCACTGAGACCAGCAAAAATGACCCAGAAACTTGTAAATACTGATAGAAGCCGAGGGGAGGGAGGGAAAAACATTATGAGAATGATTCCAGAGATGAGGCATTTCTGTCAGATGGATTGATTGGAAAAGCAGGAGTTATTTTTCATGGAGCAGAGAAAATTGAGAAGCAACTTAATGAAGTGTTCAACCTCTTCAGTAATCAAGAGAGAGAAACCAGAGAGGCAGTTTCTGTTGACAGAGGGGCTGATGATCATAATGCTCCAATTTAAAGTGATTAGCAAAAGAACAATAGGATGTTCCTTTTTATGCAGCAAGTTATTAAGATATTCAACGTGCTGCCTGAAAGGGTGGAGGCAGATACAACTGAAGTTTTCTCAAGGGAATTGAAGAAGCACCTGAAGAGAAGGAAAATGCAATGGAACGTGATTATTCATTCTTACTGCTTCAAAATTGTTTAAATTCTGCATTTTCTAAATATTGCTTTCTTCTATTTGCTTTCAAGATTTAATAATTCTACAACCAATAAATGGTGAGGGTTGTGTAGCTTACAATTACGCACTAAATTAAGAATGTTTTAAACTTACCTTAAAGTCTCTTCAAACTTTTCAACTCTAAAATAGCCACATTGCAATTTTTTTTGTCTGCAAGTCTTTGAACTCTATGAAAGTCCTGCAGCACAATCTTTTAAATAAAGAATAAACTCTGTATTCTGGCAATACTGTAGTTATTTACTTTTAAGCTTTAAATCCTCTTAAATAGCTATGCTACATTACTGTACTGCTTGCTGAGGATTTTCCCATTTTTTAATGACAAAAATAATGGAAGTTTTCCCCTCTCTAAGGCATATGTGGAGTTTTCCCACTTTTTCGTGGTAATATGGATGCTTTCCTCCTTTTCACGGCCAAAAACATAATGTACATCCCTTGCAAAAGTACTTAAATAATTTTTGTGCTTATTATCTTCTGTTAGACTCTGTGTTCAAAATCTTTTAAATTGCCCTTTAGTTACATTTAATGTACTCTGTGACTGAGTATAAATTTAGTCTCTGGCCCTTGCTCTCTCTGCATGGCCAGAACTCCATAGTGAACTCTCAGGATTGGAGGTAGCCCAATAAGGGAGGGCCAATGGATTCCAGAGTGAAGCAATCAGGGGCTTTGAGCAGGAGGCATTTGGCACCTCAAGAAGTGGTGTTCTGTAAGACGAGGGGAGTTGGTTTCATGGTATAAGCAGATAACAAGAAAGAGGGATACTATTTTCCTGGGAAGTGGGCATTATGGCCAAAGGACATTGCTCAAAGATGTTATGACCCTCCTTCCTGCTGTGTCAAATACTTTCAGGGAAAAACAGGAATTTCATTCTTGCCCACCTGCCCATATCACCTGCATTATGGTATGTGCAGTGTAATGCTGGAGTTTCTGAACAACTGAAATGATCCTTGATTTTAGCATCCATCCACCCTCTGTATTATGGGAGTGTATTTGGGGGTGATTGACAAGGCTAGCAACCTGACCTGAATGATATGTCCATCATCTTTTCCACCCTGGCTGAAAAACACACCTGGTAAGGACGTGTGTTATCAAGCCCATTGTTTCTGCATTCACTCTAACAAAATCTTCCATAATTTTAAATGCCTCTGTTAGGTCATCCAGCAGAACTCTTCAATATGATCTAACCAAGGTTCAATTCAGGTTTTGCATTACCAGCAGGTTTTCTGACCATTATTTCATTGTTCTTTATAAGATCTTAAGTGTAAATTACCTTTCATTCTTCCATGTCTGAAAATACGAACTTTAATTCAAAAATAGTTCACTGAATCTGAAGTATTTTGGACTGAAGATCTGAAAGATGCTGTATTATTATTTATTCTTTACTTCCACATGTATCTGTTCTACCAGTGAGTACATGAGTTCCTTTTTCATCCAATTTAGCCAGTTCTGTGATAGATCCCATATTCACCAGACATGGCAGCAATACCAAGCAAAGCAGAAGCCTCTTCTGACACAATCTCACTGTCAATACATTTGCTTCAACAATATTCCTTCCTGACTTTAGTAGATGTTTGGTAAGTAATTTGAAGATTGTCACACTGGACTTCCTAGTCCTAAAGCTGCTTGCTAATCATTCAAACTCCTTTTACATGTGTTTGTTAATTTTCTTTTTATATTGCTGATTCCATTGTGGAAAATAAAGACTAACTGGCCCCGTTCCCATACCATAGTATTTCTTAGTCTTTCTAAAATGGCCCCTGTCCAGAAAGCTGGGAGCCAAAACTGACTCCAACTGATCTGGACTTCAAAGAAAATTAGTTACATGTTGTTTGTGAAAAAATATTTCAAAGGTGTTATACATTACCTCATCAAGTTGTCGAAATTGAACTGTCTTAAACTCTTCCAGTGTGTACGTGTGTCCTTTCTTAATGTCACACAATGCCATGTCGCCAATGCGATAACACATGTCTCTGATGTTCAGAAGAGCAGGCCTCAAAGACTTGATAGAGGAAAAGCACAAGATATTACAAGCCCATAATAAAATTAGCAGCCATTATTTTAAAGTTTCCCATGTAGTTATATAGTAGGCAGCTAATTTAGATTGCGCATAATTTTGTTTATTTTTAATACAGTAACTGCAATCAGGCTGTGTAAAAGATATGAAGAGATTCTTTTATGAAAACTGCAAAAACAAACATTGTTTTTCTCTGTAGTTTGATATCTGAAGGTGTTGCGCGTTAATATACATAGCATGAATACAGTCATTAATAAATGTGGCAATGATAAAAATGATTGCATTTATACAATTATATCATAGCAAAGAAACCCAAGGTGCCTCACAGAGGTAAAAGGAGAAATAAGAATGTTAAGTCAGCAGAAAATATCAGAAACAATAACACAAAGTTTAATCAAATTGGTGGACTATAAAAATAGTCCCAAATCATGGCAGAATGATGAAATTTGAGGTGGGAATTTTAGAGTAGAACCTGGGCAGTTAAAGAAAGAGCCACAAAAATTGGTGTCAAGAGAACACTGAATTCTACCCAACGTGTGTATGCTGGCTCTCTACAAGAGCAACTCAGCTGGTCCCACTCCCCACCTTTATGCCTTGGCTCTCAACTTTTTCAATTCAGATAGTTATCCAAATCTTCTTTGAAAGTCTTGGTTAAATTTACTTTCACTATACTGTCTGGCACTAAATTTCAAACCTTAATCAGTTTCTGTGTTTTTTTAAAAAAAGTTTTTTTCCCCCCAATGTTTTCTTTGCTTCTTTTACCAATTACCTTAAATCAGTATCCTCTGGGGATTAACCCTTTCATCATGAGATTTCCCTGACTACTCTTGCCAGGTCCCTAATGATTTTGAATATCTTGAACCTTCTCTTCTCAATGTAGAATAGTAAGTCCCAGTTTCCCAATATGTGCACATTCCTGAAATCATTTTCGTATTCTTTCCTACATTTTCTCTACGTCACATACTTCTTAAACTGTGGTGCCCAGAAGAGAACACATAATCTAATTAAAGATGAACCAGTGTTTTATAACAATTATTCCTTTGCACTGTTTGCCTTACTTATAAGACCCAGAATGAGATCTTTAAAATTATCAAGTAATTGATAGGGTAGACATTAGAAAGCATGTTTCCATTTAGAAACTGTTGAAAGACTAGGGACCATAATTACAAGGTAGCAACTAATGATCCCAAGAAAGAAGTTCTGTACTCAGAGACTGGCAAGAAATTAAAACTCACTACCACGTGGACTGGTTACAGTCAATTGCATAGATGTATTTAAGAGATGTTGGAAAATTTCATGAAGGAGGAAGCAGTAAGAGGCTTTATTGATAGGCTGAGATGAAATGGGAGGTGTGGCAAGAACACTCACACTGGCGCAGGACTGAACAGGCCGATGTTAGATTTCTGTATAATTCATTGAGGCTACAAGTAGTCTATATTGCTATGTTGTGAAATATTGCTCATCATACAGTCAGCATATCTAGACTACAGATGCTTTAAAAATGATAACACTGTAATAAAATTTGATTTATAACTCACAGAGTTCACTATGAACAAATTATCTTGCAACGCTCTGCGACAGCTGTTGATCTTCTTGGAACGTACATTTTTTCGCCACACTGTAAAAGCTTTCCATTTCCGAAAAAGTGCAAAAACTGGAATCTGAATAAGTTGCTTATGGTACAAATATTCTTGTTCCCAACGGTCCAGTTCTATGAAATCGATGTCTTCATTATTCATATGTAGAACTCCATTCTGGCTAATTGTATAATAATCATTCTGGTTGATATCGTCATAGGCAACAACACTAAAAAAAATTGAGTTCAGCATAAAGATATTAGCAATTGACTGTTTTGTTCATATTTTAGATTTTTACAATTGTTATTAAGGTTGATCAGATTACGGGAGACAAAGTACAAATTGAAATATACATTGAAAGAAGGCAGGTTAAATTTTTAGATGAAACTCTTCCTCAGAACTCCAAAACAGTAATTGACATTTCAGATAGTATTCGATCTGCTACGAAGTAACAGCATATTTCACTTAATTTTACATTCTTTTCAAGTTGATTCTCCTTCTTTTACAAATTCGTATTTTGAGTAGTGCCAAAAAAGTCACATTTTATTAAATCATCTCGGACTCATCAAGACAGTTCACAAAAAATACCAAAGTAAAAGGGAAATGACGTTATATTGTATGAGAGGAGATTGCTGATTAATAGACACATTCCCATTAAGAATTCATCAGTCAGTAATGACAGATGGGTAGCTAGCAAGATTTGTTTAAATTTTAAACCAGGCACGTCGACTGTGTTTAGCTGTCACCAACTTTGTTGAGTTGAAACAGGCAGTGTGTCTATGTTCTTTCTGTTTCTCAAGAAAGAAATCCAGTGTATTAACATATGTCACTTTCAGTGCATTCGTGTACCACAATGCAAGCCAGACTGACAATCCTAACATGGTTGTCAGCATAATTCTTTGCACACACAATTATTTAACAAGTATTATCCAATCACAGAGCTCCGTCCAAAGGTGAACACTAACAATTCTTAGAAATGTGGGCTGTTTCACTGTGGTCACTATCATGCTTACTGCAATCAGCCACAAGCATATGTTATTTGACACAATATACTGGTCTTTGGGATATATTGCCCGCATAGCTACCTAATACCCAGTGACTAGATTTGTATTTCACATTCTTAGGTGCCATTCTGCCAAGACCTCTGAAAATACTGGTCTAGAACTGGTTCATAGGAAACCTACAAAAGTATATGACAGATTATCTTTTCAATATTCCCTGCTCATTACAGAAAGCACTTCATTTAATTTTCCTGAGATAATAGGAACTGCAGATGCTGGAGAATCTGAGATAACAAGGTGTAGAGCTGAATGAACACAGCAGGCCAAGCAGCATCAGACGAGCAGGAAAGCTGAAAAGCAGGAAAGCTGACATTTCGGGCCTAGACCCTTCTTCAGAAAACGGGTCTAGGCCCGAAACGTCAGCTTTCCTGCTCCTCTGATGCTGCTTGGCCTGCTGTGTTCATCCAGCTCTACATCATGTTACCTCATATAATTTTCCTGACAGGATAGCTATTTGAAAGGTTGTCCCTCATTCAAGATCCTTTCACTATTAAACAGAATCACTTAAAATAAGTTAATAGACACAATGAAAATCAAACTATTCATGAAATAGCAATTCCCCAAAATTGTTTTCTTTCTGAAACAGATATTTATAGTGGTGTTGCAGAAACCAAATTCAACATGGCTTGTTTTACACTGCACAATAGGTGTTAAACTTCTGAATCTCACACAGTAAATGGATGGCAGCATGATGATGATGGTAGTCTTGGACCACATTTGCAAAACGCATTAGGCTCCACAAATATGCAGGTCAAGATTCTACTCCAAGTACAGGAAACCCAAAGCAAAATTGGAGTGGAAATATGTACAGACTTCCTTACATATGATCAGCCTCATTGTACCAGTTCTTAAGTGAGCTGTCTAAAAAGTATTCAAGACATGCACAAAAAAAGACACCAAGAAACTTTTGGTACTCGTTTTTATTGTTGTGAGCCTAGGAGAGGTTGGAGTGCTCCTCCCGGCCGTGTAAAAACTCCGATCAGTTGACTTTGGATCACTACTGGTGCCTTAAAACTCTTCCCTACAAAGTGGCTCTGTGATTGCTGGTCAATTTCTTAGCATTGACGGCTTCAGTCTGAAATGAAGAGGATTTGCTCAGCCAAATTTTCAACTGCTCTTGATACAACTAACACTCCTTCCCTCACAGTTAAGCAATAGTTTTACATATGTAAGAAAGCCATACTTGATACCACTATTAAACAGGAACACGATTGCAGCAAAACAATTACAGAAGTAACAATGCTCAATGTCAAAAAGAAAGCCAGATTAGGAGCGAACACCAAAAATGGCAACAAAAAAATCTTTCAATCTTTAAGAAAGCTTAAAGAAAGATAAAGAGATGAAGTTTCAGGAAGTAAGGTGCAGAAATAGAATGTACTAGGCTAAAGTGTGGGAGAACTCAGCGGAGATCAAATTTAGAGGAATGGATAGTTTTTAGGGACTGAACCATAGGACTGAAAATGGATGTGGATTTGGCACCTAAGAATCTGGATATGGATCCAGCAAGTGTGGACGAGGTTGACAATGCTATGGAGGAAAGTTAAGATGAGGGCAAGAGTTTAAATCTGAAATATTAGGGCACTGTAAGCCAATATGGCTGAACAAGGATAGCCATGTTGTGTGAGCTGAGCTTTCTGCAGGATAGGATACAGACAGGAGAGTTTGAACCAGATCAAGTTTAATGGGATAGATACTGAGAGATTGTCACAGCATAGAAATACTCAAGACTAATTGTTAAAAGGTATACAAGAGACTTTGTACAATGTTGAACTAAAATAGGGGCAGATACTGGCAATTTATTTAGTCAGAAGTGAATAGACCAGGAGACGAAAATTTTATGAAGCTGGAAGCTTGGGATGTAGCCCAAGATAATGGCCAGAAAAGGTAATATTTCAGTAATATGGAAGTGAGGTTTGTGAACTGGTATAGCCTTTACATGTCTAGTTGAAGGAATTCAAGTCTCAGCCAATACTGAACAATGGACAAGTCATCTGACATGATAAAGGTAGTAGATGCTTCAAAATAATTGAAGATATACAGCTGGACATCATTGGTATGCACCTGGAAGGTGACCTCATGTGTAAACAATGGATTGTTAGGAGATCCTGCAAGTGGGAAAAGAAATTGCTACTTAGATGTAATCTCAGTTGATGCATAATTACTTGAGAACAATGAAGGCTGCAGAGAAACTGAAAAGCATAATAGAATAATGCACACTCACAATAATCACAAAGAATACAATTTGTGACTTTGAGGCTATTGAGACAAATTTCTGTAAGTAGCTGTGGGGGAAATAGGTATGAATCTGATGGTAACAGGGACTTGACAGGAAGGGAGACACAGCCATTGTTATTGAGTAAATGGGGCATCTAAGGGAGGACTTTTGAAATTAAATATCAGAAAATGGGGAAAAGTGTAAAAGTCTCCCTCTGCTAAAATGGAGTGTTCAAATTTACCTCTGCAAATAAAAGGTTGACTTTAGGCCTTATGACATGCAATGGATTAACTTGGAAATACTGTATGATGAAATGTACAATATTGTATTTCATTTCAAACAATGGAACTTGCAGCATTAATTACATGTTCAATGTTCAAAGCATACTGACACACCGCAACACAAAACTAGAACTTTTGTTTATTAGAAGCTCAATCATTGATCTCACATCCATTTTTATTCTATTACGAGCAGACTTTCGATGACATTGCTGAGTGTATGTTAGCTAAAACTCAAACAATAGAGGAGTTATTCATTGTAATATGCAGTCTATTATCAGGGCCATTTGGATATCTCTGTGTCTAAGTGAGTAAAATGTTTATGGATCTCTGCTGGCCTGGAGCAGCAGCAGGACCCTCACTCTAACCAAGAGAAAGAGAAAAAGGCTGCCTCTTGCTGCATCTTGACCCTGTTTAAAAAAGAAAACCCATCTCTCATATTCAAGGGAACATGGCAAATTCCAGGCATAGGCCAGTTACCAATATGGTCAGGAACTTCCAAACATCAAAATCAGAAATATCTGTGTCTTGGCTCTCAAGACAACTTGGTTTCAGACAACTGTAGAGGGGCCTGATCCCATTCCTTTATTCAATCATATGCTCACCAGGGATTAATTAAAACTGAATTGCTAAATTCACATTGCTCCTGTGAACCAATCACAATACAATACCAATGGCACTTACTCAACTATAGCTTAAAAATAACTACTACAGACAAACTGCACAAATCCTGCTTTAATCTTGTTTGATTTGTTCCTGCCCAGTGCCCTGTCACAGAGCTAAAAAACAAGCACATTGGTCATATAATTAATGGGTAGATGGTGATACAATAGAATTATCACAAGTTTACTGTGCAGAGAAAAAAGAAACATGCATTTCCTTATTAAATCTCTCAAATATCAAAAGACAGTTTTAATATGGAGTGTTCATGCCTCACTCCCAGACTTCAGCACGTAACCGAGGCTGACATTTGATACAATGATGGACATTTGAAATAAGGTGAAATTAAGGCCTGGTTGCTTGTTTAGATGGGTGTTAAGATTCCCAGCCCAGCCTCCATCTGAAGAATAAAAGACAAATAATTCAGTGAATTGGTCACTATTCCTTCCACCAACTAAAAGAACCAAAGATTCACTGGTCTTTTGTCATATTACGCTTTAAGCAGTACCAAGTGCAAAAAAAGAGAAAGTGATCTCCACCATAACATCTTATCTATAAATACCCTCAATGGTATAACACTAGCCTAATTTTGCACTTAAGCATCAATCTAGATTACTTGCTTTCATCTTTATCTCGGGGCTTGGCTTCAAATTACAACATTTAACTCAAAAGATGAAAATGCAATGAAACTGCTGGACAACCCTTTTTTTTGACATTAGAAACATCATGTAAACAACACAGCTTTCTTATATTGTTATAGGAATATATTGGTAGATTTAGTTTCCAAAAAATAAATACAGAAATGTTAAAGATTAAAGACTGTACCTCAAGTTATAAAAGTCATATTTAATGGAATATTTTGGAGCACTATAGTTCATGTATAAAAATCCCAGATGTTTGTTCTTCCTTATTATTGAAATAATTTTTAAAGGATCTTGCACATTTTCCCGGATAACGTCTTCCGCTGAGCTATACGTGAGTTCTGGAGGCGAAATCATTCTCATGCATGAGCTTGTCCGGCACAGAGCACCGGTAGGTTGTTTCGGTGGTGGTGGAGATGGCAGTATGCATATGTCCAGGTCAGCCTGGATGATTTAAATAATGTATTTAAAATTAAAATTGTTATATTCAATGGCAAATCAAATAAAAAGACCATTTCATTCTGAATATCTTTACGCCAACATTTAATTGATTCTGTTCTGAAGAAGGAACAAATTGCTCTTAACTTAGAAATTCTAATAATAGCATGGGAGTACAGAACCTAAACATTGCTAAGGAGAGACACAAAGTTTAAGCTTTTAGGATTGCACTTAGAGCTGACACACGGAATCAAATTTGAGAGAGAACTCCAAGTTACACAACATTAAAAGATGGTGCTTGTTAGTTGGCATGATTTGCCTGGGGATGCCAGCCAATCTTAGCTGAAAAAACCTCAATCCAAATACTGATTAATCAGGATATTGCCAGGGAATCAGTAGTCTCCACAAGCTTTTCTTGGAAAGGTGCAATGTATAAATGTATTTTTTTCTTGCCTACATAAAAATCTTTTAGGATGCACTAATGCATCAATCAACAAGCCCAACTGATCAGGGTAAATTGGTTTCCCAGTGTAATTTCTAGCAGTCAAGATTATTTATCAATATTTAGATAATAATTAGTTAACTTATGGAAACGGTCAATCCTTTTTGCATTACTCTGATCAATTAGAGTTTACCTGCTTTTTCAGAGTTCATTCAGCAAAATAAAACTGACACAGTTAGAAGTTCCTGCTGCATCTCTCTGTCAACCATGGTCCTCAAATAAAAATAAATCAGCACTCTTCCAACACTAGGTAAAGTGGTGTTCCCCAAGTTTGGTTTCTTGTGTGTCGGTCTTAATGAATCAGAGATGAAAACCTTTGTCTCTTAGTAGCCATGTTTCATGAAAAGTTCTAGTTATTTTTTCATTGAAGCTATAATCAATAAAGTCAAGTATTTAAAAACATCTGTGGGCACCTCTCTACATTAAAATAACATATTACATATTCCAGGTCTAAAACACTGGCCAATGGTACAAAATGATGATCCAATGAAGTGACTGTGTTACAAATATTTACTAGTTAGATTTTCAGTAAATAGGTTACTTGGCACATATACCTCCAAAATGCAAACAAAGTTAAATACACAAATATATTACTTCAAAGTGACATCTAACATTGGCCTTCCAAAATTCCAATGTAAATCAATTTTCTTGTTTTAAACCATCGAGGGAATTTTTTTCCCATCCAGAAGGATATAGAAGTTTTAAAATAGCAAACTTTGACAATGTACTTCTGAAGGCCCATCAAATATTTTTCTTCCTTTAAACAACTTCAAGCTACTATTGGTAAAAAAAAAACTGAATGAATGAATAATTGAATGTGTTATGGCCACACTGGACCTCCTCAAAATATTTTAAGAAGGTAGCCTAGACTCTATTCTTTTCTTATTTTAAAGGTAAATGTGAAGTGCTGTGCTCCAGATGTAATTCGATTGTTCAAACTAGTTGGCGTTAAGCAATATACAATTTATTCAAACACTATAGTTAAAATACATCAAAAGAAAGAACTTGGAACAGCTTAACTCTATTAGAAACTTAACAGAATAATAGATACAGTAACTGTAACTAATTAACTGTTCCAATATAGTTACATCTATAAACACACCCCTTGGCAAAACGACAAATTCAGAAATCAGATTTTCGCACATGCAATACTGGTTGTAGGAGGAGAAAGCCCAGCTTCTATCTGTAAATGAGGGAGGGGGAAAAGAAAAAGCTTCTACTTCTTTAAAACTCCAGCAGCTTCTGCTGAATGTGAAAGCTAAAAAAAAGCTAGAAATCCTGGTCAGAGAGAGCTAGCCACACCCAGCCAGTCTGCTTCAATTGTTCCAACTTGTAAAAACCCAAGGCCTCACATGCTGTTTCCGTTACCACAGACTGCTCTTCACCTCTCATTCATTCATTCATTCAAACTCCCTCTCCAGAGAAACCAGGACAAAATACACCTATTAAAGCCACAGCTTCATCATAATTGAATGAATTATTTTATTGTTGCATGTATTTTACAGTGAAAAAATACAGTAAAATACAGTGAAAAGCTTCCACTGTCACCATGATTCTGGCACCATTTTGAATAGTCTAATAAAAAAAAAATCTAGCTTAAGGAATGTCCATAACCTTCTGCCACTGCTTTACCACCACCATTGCCGGACCCAATCAACAAAGTTGCTGTTCCTCAGGTGCCATCTTTCGCTGCTGGGCCTACATCACAAACATCAACTCCGATGTAGCAGCTGTGCAGTGCAATTTACAAAAGGAAAAAGTTAAATCAAGTACATATACTGGACCATCTCCGATACCTCTCTCTCCTTCCTGGACCTCTGTGTTTCCATCTCTGGCAACCACCTAGAAACCAATATCTATTTCAAGCCTACCGACTCCCACAGCTACCTAGAACACACCTCCACTCATCCACCTTCCTGCAAAAAAATGCCATCCCCTATTCCCAATTCCTTCGCCTCCGCCGCATCTGCTCCCGAGATGAGGCATTCCACTCCCAGACATCCCAGATGTCCTCGTTTTTCAAAGACCGCAACTTCCCCTCCACAGTGGTTGAAAAAGCCCTCGACCGCATCTCTCGCGTTTCCTGCAACTCATCCCTCACACCCCTTCCCCGCAATAACAACAAAAACAGAATCCCCCTCGTTCTCACGTACCACCCCACCAACCTCCAGATGCAACGCATCATCCTCCGTCACTTCCGCCATCTGCAATCTCACCCCACAACCAAGGACATTTTTCCCTCCCCACCCTTATCTGCCTTCCGGAGGGACCGCTCTCTCCGTGACTCCCTTGTCCGTTCCACACTCCCCACTAGCCCCACCACCCCTGGCACTTTTTCCTGCAACCGCAGAAAGTGCTACGCCTGCCCCTACACTTCCCCCCTCACCCCCATCCCAGGCCCCAAGAAAACCTTCCACATTAAACAGATGTTCACCTGCACATCTGCTAATGTGGTATACTGTATCTGCTGTTCCCGATGTGGCCTCCTCTACATCGGGGAAACCAAGCGGAGGCTTGAAGAACGTTTTGTGGAACTCCTACGCTCGGTTCGGGACAAACAACTGCACCTCCCAGTCACGAACTACTTCAACTTCCCCTCCCACTCCTTGGACGACATGTCCATCCTGGGTCTCCTTCAGTGCCACAACGATGCCACCTGAAGGTTGCAGGAACAGCAGCTCATATTTTCCTTAGGAACCCTGCGGCCCAATGGTATCAATGTGGACTTCACAAGCTTCAAACTCCCGACCGCATCCCAAAACTAGCCCAGCTCGTCCCCGCCTCCCTAACCTGTCTGTCTTTTCTCCCATCTATCCACTCCTCCAACCTCAAACCCCACCCCCACCTCTTTGACCTGTCCGTCTTTCCTTGATTGACCAAACCCCATCCTAAATCCCCACCTACACTCACATTTACTGGCTCCATCCCCGCCTCCTTGACCTGTCCATCTCCTCTCCACCTACTTGCTCCTTTATCCATCGTCCATCCACCTCCCCCTCTGTCTCTACTTATTTCAGAATCCCCTTCCCCTCCCCCACTTCTGAAGAAGGGTCCAGACCCAAAACGTCAGCTTTCCTGCTCCTCTGATGCTGCTTGGCCTGCTGTGTTCATCCAGCCGTACACCTTGTTATCTACGTACAATTATAATTTTGTTCAAACCTGTTTCTTCTTCACATCAGGTGACAGTTTTGGTAGTCGTTGGATAGGCTGGCTGGTTAAATCTAAAGACTCATGTCGTGACCGCTTTGATGGCTGCCATCCTAATTTTATCAGTTGCTCTCTATTCTTTGCAAAAATATATTCTGGCTGATTTTTGTCTTGGTGCCTCTTGAGGATAGGCTGTCAAAATATTGAAGGAACTTTTATTAGTGAGAAAGGAAAATGCACCAAAATTCATATTGTAGAAACATCAATATATAAGTCAGGAGATTATATGGAAACTCATTAATAAATATATCATAAAATTACACCTAATGGATTATAAATACAAATTTTTTTCAAGTTATTTCAACACTACCTTATTATCAATTTTTAGCGAGCCCACATTGCTGTAAGATTTTTGCCTACTAACAACATTCCCATGGGACGTTTTATGTCATCCTGAATAATCAGATGACATTTCAGTTTCATTTCTCAATGGAAAGATAGCACTTCCAAACTGCACAGCTACCTCATGAACACACCAGATTATGCAGTCAATTCCTTGGAAATGCAACTTCGCATGGTGTTCAAACATGCAAGTAATGAAGTAGAAAGCGCAGTGTAAATCATATAGGCTCAAAGAACTAAAGGGCCTCATCTGAACTGTATGATTCTATGAAATATTCTCTCAATTAGTGACTGGAATTTTTGGTCATTGTTAGATGTCACTTTCCAATGAGAGTCCAAGGTGTGGGGCAGTTTCAGGTAACTTTTATAGCAGTTTTATTTTCAGTACAGCTTCATTTCTCCGGAGCAATAAGGCATACAAAGTGCTTCAGAATGTCTTAACTTATATAGTTCAAACTTATAGTACACATGCCCCTTTTACTATTGACCAGTGGCCATTACAGAAACTTGGGTAACTCAGGGACAGGAATGGTTGCTGGAAGTTCCAGGATTTAGGTGCTTTAAAAGAAATAGGGAGGGTGATAAAAGAGGCAGGGGAGTGGCATCGCTAGTCAAGGCTAGTATAGCAGCTACTGAAAGGCACTCCGAGAATGATATGTCTACAGAGTCAGTTTGGGTTGAGGTCAGGAACAAGAAAGGAGCAATCACTTTGTTGGGGGTTTTTTACAGACCCCCAAATAATTGACGAGGGTAGAGCAGTGGATGTGGTATACATGGATTTAAGTAAGGTGTTTGATAAGGTTCCCCATGGTAGGCTCATGCAGAAAGTAAGGTGGCATGGGATAGGGGGAAATGTGACAGATTGCATTCAGAACTGGCTGACCCTTAGAAGATAAAGGTGGTCGTGGACAGAAAATATTCAACATGGTGCTCAGTTACGAGTGGTATACCACAAGGATCTGTTCTGGGTCCTCTTCTATTTGTGATTTTTGTAAATGATTTGGATGTAGGAGTGAAAGGGTGGATTAGTAAGTTCGCAGACGATACGAAGGTGGGTCGAGTTGTGGATAGTGCGAAGGTCTGTTCTAGGTTACAAAGGGACATTGACAGGATGCAGAGCTGGGCTGAGAAGTGGCAGATGGAGTTTAACCTTGAAAAGTGTGAGGTGATTCATTTTGGAAGGACAAACTTGAAAGCAGAATACAGGGTTAACGGAAAGATTCTTGGCAGTGTGGAGGAACAGAAGGATCTTGGGGTTCATGTCCACAGTTCCCTGAAAGCTGCCACCCAGGTGGATAGAGTTGTTAAGAAGGCATATGGTGTGTTAGCTTTCATTAATAGAGGAATTGAGTTCAAGAGCCGTGAAATTATGCTCCAATATGCAAAACCCTGGTTCGGCCACATCTGGAGTATTGTGTCCAGTTCTGGTCACCTCATTACAGGAAAGATGTGGAAGTGTTGCAAAAGGGGCAGAGGAGATTTACCAGGAATGGAGGGAAGGTCTTACGAGGAAAGGTTGAGAGCGCTAAGGCTTTTCTCTTTAGAACGATGAAGGATGAGAGGTGACTCAATAGAGGTGTACAAAATTATCAGAGGTATAGATAGAGTGGACAGCCAGAGACTTTTTCCTAGGATGGAGGTAGCTATTACGAGGGGGCATAGTTTTAAAGCGAGTAGAGGTAGATATAGGGGAGATATCATAGGTAGGTTCTTCACTCAGAGAGTGGTAGATACGTGGAATGCATTGCCGGAGAGGGTTGTGGCGTCGGCCTCAATAGAGGCATTTAAGCGGCTATTAGACAGGCCTATGGATGATAGTATAAGGTAGGGGTGGAGGTTAGACAGACCTTAGGTTTAGGGTAAAAGTTCGGCACAACCTCGTGGACCAAAGGGCCTGTACTATCCTCTGTCCGCGGCGCCAAGTTGCTCTGGTACAGCATCTTATACAGTTCAATGTTGCCTCAGCAATTTACTTGCTGTCGTGTAAACAGTCATGGTTGGCTTATCCCTCTCTTCAAATCTTTCAGTAAAAATATGCCCCAGTAAGGAGGAGAGTCATGAATTACCTCCTTCAATGTTTGCTACTGCTTGCTTACTGTCATTCCTTCTATCTTACCAGTTCACTTTAATTCTATCCTTATTTGGTTGCAAAGCCCTTTCTTCAAGTTAAACACAGTTGTTTTCAACCTATATTTTTTATTCTTGAACTGAATATTAAATTCTATCATGTTATGATCACTACTTTCTATGGGATCTTTTACTCTGATGTCATTCATTAAACCTGCCTCATTACCCATTTCCAAGATAGCCTGCTGCCGGTTGATTCCATGACATTTTGCTCCAGGAAACACTGGCAATTTTTTTTCAGTTTTGGGAACAACTGGCAAACCAAATGTAAATTACTACATACTTAACTAGATTAAATATGAATAGATTAATTATCAGTATTTTACCTAAATCACTGTCTTACTTTCATTATTAAAAGCCAATTTAATAATGTAGAGTATTTGCTGGCCATCTATCACCAGAAGATACTCATACTTTCTTGATATGCGCAACTGACAAGGATGTCTCCCTGCTGGCAATTTGCATATGAAGAATAAATCATTTGACATCAATTGATGAGCAATATATGATTTATATAATGGGATAAAATCCTGAGTTAAACAAATTTCTGACCATATTCTATCCGTACAGTGTCCCAAAATGCAGCATGTTTGTGACTTATGCCATACCTCATTTTGGACTTTGTAGAATTTTGTATTATCAGTTTGTGAATCTAGAATAGATTCCTAGTCTGTTTACGTTGACCATTTTCAGTGCCCACCATTTCATGAATGAGTTTTATCATGAAAAGTGCAGTCTAAAACTAAGTCAGCTGCTGAATGCAAACAATAAAAACAAATGGACAAAGTAAATTATATAGATGCTGTAAAGTTGACTAACGCACAAAAAGATATCCTTTTTTGGACAATTCTAGTTTCCAAACAGCCAGAGGTGTTAAACCCATTTATTTAGTTTAACATTTGCACGAATAGCATGCTTCTACAGGTGAATAAAGCATCTGAATGTGTGGCCAGTCATTATACTTTCCGAAGACTTGCAAAGGTTTTGAAGAGGGTGAAGAAAAGATTTGAGACAGTAGTTGCAGGCATGAAGGACTTTAGTTATGATTGGAGAAGCTAGCGTTAAAAAGAGGGTTAAGAGGAGATTCATACACAGTTTCTCCCTCCCTCTGTCTACGACTCATTTTCTGCCATTCATTTCACTGCTTCTGCCCACTTGACACTCCCTTCACCATCAACTCCACTCCCAAACAGCAGCACACTCCCACTCTGTGGCATCCATTCTGCTGCTCTGTCCCACTCTCCAACCCCTCACCTCCCGCCCCAACACCCTCACAACTCCTATCTGTTCACTCACATGCTTGTCATCCAGTCCACTGCTCCCTCACACTCCCCACTGTCCAATCTCTCTCACACGCCACTGCTCCCTCTCATACCTATCATCTATTCCACTGCTCTGTCACACTCCTAACTGTTTTCTGACTTCCCTTCAACTATTCTGCCAACCACTCCCATGTGAGGGGAAAAATGGCAAAAGAAATGGGAAGAAATGCTGAAAGAAATGAGCTCTAATTAGCAAAGAGAAAGGGACAGCAATGGAGTAAACAACGGGAAGCCACAAAGTTTGTGGGGACAAAGCAGAAAAAGAAGTCAGAGTGAAGATGAAAAGTAATAGGGGAAGCAGCAGAAAACTGGAAATGGTGAAGTGAGCTGGACAGCAGCAGAGAGCAAAAGGAAAACAGACAAGAGCAGCAGAAAGGGAGTAAGAACACTTTACTGTCTTTACTCAATTTCACCAATCTTAATATATGGCAGTTGCCTGGGGTACTGCCATCAGTGATATCACAGGTATTGACAGTGCGCTGGGAGCGGGTTCTGTAGTTGCAGCATCAGCAAACACAACCCACTGCCCTTACATTAATGACATGAAATGAACTGGCGCCTACCAATGGTTGCAGTTGAACGGGCTGCTCCCGTGCTATTCTTTTTTCCCGTGCCTTTGTATTCTGAATAAACTTCAAAGCAAGAGGATTTGGAGTGGATTGTTTTGGTGCTGTGGAGATTAGTCTCGATTGCAGTTCCGAAGGATCGATGTCTAAATTTGGAGGTGTAAGACTGTCTCCAACTTTCTTCCTTTTCCTTTTAATATGCAGTGGCACACATGCTGATGTATCAGGAAGGTGGAAGCTTTTGGACTGCAATAACAAATTTGAAAACATTGTAAAATACATTCAACTACAATCAATATTTAAATATTCTGTACATTTCCTTCCATTAAGTGAAAATAAAATCTTCAGGTGAAATGTTTTCAACATATTTATTGGATAATCAGAATAATTAGGGCTTTAATTTTCACAGTGGAAAGTCTTTCCACCTAATAAGCAGGAACAGGAAGATGAAAAGCAATGGAGATTAGATTCCATAACATCTGCTGCAAGTACACATTGCATTGAATTCGCACTGCAAATGGGCTGAAAATCCCAGCATCAGTCTGCTGTACTTAAAATGATGGCAAAAGCACATCTCCATCTGTAAATCAGAAGGAAAACTGGAGTAATAAAACCACCCGTTCAACACTTCAGTGAAATTATTGCCTTGGAATAAAGAAAGTGTAGTCATAACCCAGCAAAAAATGCATTCATTTCCTTTAAGAGAGGCTCGTTTGTCTTCATGCGAGTAACCTGTTCAAATGAAGTTGGCATAATATTTAAGACAAACATTGGTGATTACCAAAACCATTCACCCCATTAGCACATTATTGTAGGTCTTTCAACTGAATTAAAGACATTTAAATTTAATGCCTCAACTGCAGGTTACCCAGAAAAATAGGTTAAGATTTGGTTCATGGAATTCTTCAACATTTGAATGCCTGATCTCAACAAAGGCTCAGTGCTCCTCGTTGTCTTGTCAGTTCTCACTTGCAAACATGTTACAGACTATAGCCTTTTGAGAAATTTTGAGTTTGGAAATGGACATAAGCAGGATGTGGTTCCACGGATGGTTTTGAATTACATCAGATGAGGAAGACCATCACCATTCATAGCAGTAGCAATAACGTGGTGTGGTAGGATCAGTAATTCTAGTGAGAGCTGTGGCTTCACTGCCTCAACTACACAACAGTATTTCCACATGCATACAGTGACATGGCAAGTGGTTGCAGACATCTGTAGGATATTTTGACAAGAGCTGCTACCTATTCAATCTTGAGGCAGTGCACTGATGATTGCATCCAGGTCATGACTGCCCTCAATTTCTTCATCTCTGATCTCTCCCAGTCCAACAATTAAAATTTCTCATATCACTCAGTCAGCTACTCATAAATAAGGACATTCGCGAGGGTATGAAGACAGAGCTGCTTATGGTATATTGGGAAGTTTGGCTAAGGAATAGTTTGGTAAAGTCATCACAGTCTTACAAGAGCACAGGGCTGCTCTCTCAGACAGAGATCACTGGTAAAAGTAGGTTTGGAGTAAGAAGTGCATTGAAACAGGATCTACATGTTGTAAATCATAACAGAATATGAAAGGATATATCCCACAGATGATTGAAAAATCAAAGGGTGAAAGGGAAAGGAACACTTAATGACAATCACCAGGGGTAGGGTACTGAGAAAATTATTAGAACAAAATGGTTGAAAAGATCTCAGGTCCTGATGGCTTCATCCTGGAGTCTGAAAAGAAGTGGCTACTGAAATAATAGATGCAGTGGTTTTAATTTTCCACAATTCGCTACATTCTGAAATATGGCAATAAGAATTCATTTCTCTGAGAGGGTTGTTCCTTGTGGTATCAGCTTTACATTATGACTTCTGATGCTTAAGAGAATCAAGCTTGAAAATTCTATTAAGGTCATCATGATTCATTTTCTTCATCCAGGATTTGAAGGAATAGTTATGAGAAAGCAAGGATACGTTTTTCTAACAGCTTGTAAATCTCCAGCTTTCCTGTTCTGATGTCAGAGAAATTAGTGGCTTTGTCTACTATGTGTCTTTTTAATAATTACCAAGTTGTGAATATTGCTGTTTCAGGAAAGTGCTAGAATCCTTTATTAAGGAAGTCATAGCAAGATACTTACAAAACTATGATTTGATCATGCAGGGTCAATGTGACTTTGTGAAAGGAAAATCATTTTTTACTAATCTGAAATATTTTTGGATAAAGTATTATACACATTGGATAGAGAGGAACTGGTAGATGTGGTCTACTTGGATTTCCAAAACTCAGTTGATAAGATGCCACATCAAATGTTGCTGCACAAAATAACAGCACATGGTGTACAAGTAATATTTTGGCATAGATAAAGGATTGTTTAGCAACCAAGAAGCAGATCGAAGGAATAAACAGATCTTTATTGGGTTTGCAATATTTCACTGGTCACAGCAATCAATGCTAGGGCATCAATTATTTACAATTTGTGATGTGGGAACTCAATAGCTCGTGGCTATCTTGCAAATTACACCAAGATAGGTTGTAAACTAAGCTGCCAGGAGGAGATAGTGAGTCTGCAAAGGGACATAGGTTAAGAGAGACAGAGAGTGGAAAGAAAATTGACAGATAGCATACAACGTGATTAAATATGAACTTTAAATGGCAGGACTCTGAGGTACAAGGGGATCTGGGTGTCCATACACAGGACATGCATCACACATTTATGTATCACCAAATTAGTATACAGGTGCAGCAAGTGAATAGGAATACAAATGGAATGTCTTATTAAATGCAAGGGGAACAGAATGCATAAGGAGGGAAGTTAAGGGACAGAAATCTATCACCATTCCTTCACTGTCATTGGGTCAAAATCCTGGAACTCCATCCTGAACAGTTTGGTAGGTGTACCTATGCCAAAAAAAACTCCAGCAGATCAAGAAACCAGCTCACCACACCTTCTCAAGGGCAATTAATGCTGGTACAGCCAGCAAAACCCACATTACCTGAATGAATTAAAATAAAATTACTGCAACTATGCAAGGCATCAGTGAGATAACATTTGGAGAACTGTGTACAGTTTTGGTCTTGTGAGAAAAAGCAGTTCAGAGAATTTTCACTTGGCTCATTCCTAGGGTGAAAGGGTTGCCTAATGAAGAAATGTTGAACGGGTTATGTCTATATCCACTGGAGTTTAGTGGAATGAAGGGTGATCTTATTGAAATATATCCAGTCTTGAGGACAAGATAAGGTGGATATCTCTAGGACACTTCCACATGTGGGGGAAGACAAAATCTAGGAGACAATGTTTATGAATAAAAGAGTCTTCACTACTAAGATAGAGACAATGAAATTTTCTTTTTTCGCAAAGAGCTGTTAGTATGGAGAATCTTCATCCTCCATAATGTTATGGATAGTGAGTCTTTAGAATTTACTGAAGGATTCATTAAATGGAATTTTGATAGACAGGGTGTCGAGCTATATGGGGTACAGACAGGAAAGTAGCAATGAAATATAACCAGATCACTCAAGATCTGATAAAATAGTGGAAGAGATTTGAAATGACCTACTCTTTAAGTCCTGACTTTCTATGTTAGGTTCTTACATTTTAAGACTACAACACTTGAGCCAATCAAGAACAGAAAGTGAATTAAGGATACATCTTCAGAATGAATAATAAGATACACTTGATAAAAGAATTACTTCGAAGTGGTACCAAGAATTCCCCAGCAATATTATTTGAGATCATGTCTGTATCAAGAACATGAGAGGATATTTTAAGCAATCCTACCTATGCAGGGGCGGTGAGTGGGGGGGGGGGGGGGGGGAGGGGGGGGGGGGGGAGGGAAGGCGAGAGGGGCGCGGGCAGG